ATTTAAATTCTGATGGGGGTGTAATGATCTTATGTTCTAATGGAATGAACCTACTGTTCATATGGAAAATAAGGGGATAATTTTGAATTGTCCGATTTACTCGGGGATCCTGTGGGAATGTTTAGTTCAATGACCGCATAATTATTTGTGTTATTTTTATAATCTTTTGGGAATTCAGAGAACTGCCACGCTAACCAAAATATCGAAAGAGAAGGCAAAAGCCACAAAGCCGAGGCAGGAGCCCATACGGTTGTAGCAAGTGCTCGTAGCTGTGGCCTTGCCAGCAGCTCTCCCTCCAGTGGCCTTGCCAACTCGGAGCGGGCAGCCCAAGCTGACTCCTTTAGGATCCTGCCATGGCGTGGACCACGCCACTCGGCCTCTGAAAATGCCTAACCACCAAGGTAGTACTTATAAGGCCCTATTTCCTACCTTGGCTCATGCATGAGGTTGCCTGGTTGCCGTGGTGCCTGCTTTCTTTCTCCCAGCATCGCTTCTGCCATCCTCAGAATAGCAGTCTCGGGTATATCTGTGGTCCGGCAAGAAGCCAGGCACGGGGACAGAGCAGGCCACCTGAAATCGGGTGGGACATGTCTCTCCCTCTATCAAGGTCCCAGTCCTGCAATCACAGAGATCCCAGACGAGCTCCCAAGTTGTGAGAAATGCCCTTACCTGTCCAATGCCAAAGGATGGAAACGGAGACACAAGGTACGGTGAAGCAAGACTTTAATTATGGCCTTATAAGGTTTGGGTATCTAAAGGGCAGGCACACGGAAAAGAGTTGTAGCAAGCAACTTATTCCCTAATATGCAAGTCCCTCCCCCTGCTTCCTCACTGGCTGAGTACTACGGGGTGCACAGTCTTCCCAGATCGCGCCTAAAATTTGTTACCCTGATTTACTACCCCTTGTAAGAAATTTGTCTGAGGGCTCAGGAAAAGTCCATGAAAGGGCCCGCTAAAATCCTGTGAAAGCAGAAACAACAGGGAATGAAGAAAACAATAGGGACTAGTAGCTAATTACCATCTCAAGGAGAGCTCTATCTGTTCAGCGACCCTCTGGGAATGGGCTGGACTAGTCAGACAACTTTCAGGCTGAGCCTGAATCATTTCTGAAAATAAATCACTTAGATTATTTTCTTACACCTGAGAAGTGGCCCTCCAGCTCAGCCAACAGTGGGTTGGGGGCCCCCTGGTGGGGCCAGCAATACAGGAACTGCAGTTGCTATATTGATCAGTTCTCTTGTGTTCTAATTTGACTGAACCACCCTGATGGGGAAGATAGTGTTGTTCCCACTGCATGGGAGTGAACACTGGTGCTTGTAGGGACTGAGTTTATTCAAGGGTACATGGCTACTACTGTAGGTTAGAGCTGGGGTGGGTTCTGGGTATTTCTGACTCTGAGACCAGAGTGCTTTGACTCCCCCCATTGCCACCCCTCACACCAAGAGCAGCAGAATTTCTTCAGTAAGCCAAGGTCTTGGGGCAGGAGGAGGGGCCAAGTGCTGCCCCACCTGAGAGCACCCCTTGGTTCATGGCATCCCCACCTGGTAGGTTTCCTGTTCTTTCTCAGTCAGCTGGCTCCTTTCCCATGTTTCCTGAAGCCCCCTCAGCCTTCTAGCTCTTGGTTTCTGAGATAGCAAGCTGTCGTTCACTGTTTTATGACAACCTTTCTTGTCCCTTCCTTCTAGGTGCTGTGAACAGTCACAATGGGAAGCAGAGGAAGTTCCGTCCAGCTCGTGCTCCAGCTTGTCCTGGTTGTCCTCTGCAATTTAGGTGAGTGGTCCAGAGTCTCGGGACATGGATCTGGACCAGTTAGACTGTGTCGGCCATGAGCTTTCTTTTTCTTAGGCCTAAGGAAAACTGAGCTGATGCCACTGGCCTCAGTGTGAGCCCCAGTCCTTCTTCCAGGCCCTGCTTTGGTTCTTTTACCTTCTAGTGTTACAGGTCTGGGTGTGTAACAGCTCCTTACAACATTACAATCTTGCCCTCAGTGGGGCAACTTCCTGGGTTACAGGGCTGCTTTTTGCAGGGGGTGGGAGGAACAATCAGCAGCTTAAGTTTCACACCCCTCACCACCAGCTACTTGGGGATATCAGTGGATGCCATCCTTGGAGTGTGGTGCAAGTCCCTGTGGGGGGGTCCACTGTGCTCAGTCTTTGCGCCCTGGGGCTTCCCCTGTGCTGAGATGATGATGATGATGATGATAGCGATAACAGCAGCAGCTAATGCTTATAGCATTTATGTGCCACTCAATCACTATTCTAAGCATTTTACATGTATTTACTTATTTAATCCTCATGTCAACCCAGTGGATAGGGACTATTTTTATCCCCATTTTACAAATAGCAAGATTGATGCCCAGAAAGAAGTGGTACACCAGAATGTGACCCCAAACAGTCTGTCACCAGAGTCCCTGCTTTTCACTCCCACTCCAGGTCACCCCTCCCTGGGCCGCCCTTCCCCTAGACCACCCCTTTCCGGTCCACCCTTCCTGTGGTTCCTGGAGGAAGTTGTGTGCTTCTGAGTCTCAACCTCTGTAACAGTAGGAACACCCACGCTACTTGCTTTGCTTCGCTGTAGGATCAAATGTCATTTTCTGCCCGTGTCATGTTGGTAAAATATTCTGGCCACCACTAGGGTTTTTTGGGGGGTGGGGCAGGAAAGAAAGGAGCAACGCAATGAGCAATTAAAACAAAAAGATGAGTCCAGGGCAGCCCCTCTGCCCAGAAGCAGGCCAGAAACAGAGCATGCCGAGAACACCACTTCCACATGGGTGGCCCACCACATGGCTGCTGCAAAAGCGGCTCAATGCCACAGCAGTAGCTACAGCCACCGTGCAGGTGGCCTGCCAGACGCTGAACTGCAATGACACAAGGAGAGTCACCAGTGGAGACCAAAACAAGAAGAGGAGGTCTCTGCCCTCAAAGCCCACTCCAGTGTCATAGAAGCAACTGCTCTGCCATGCCCCTGCTTTCTTTCTGATTTTAGTAATTTCTGTCTTCTCTCTTTTTTCTTGATCAATCTTGATAAAGGTTCGCAAATTTTGTTGATCTTTTTAAAGAATCAACTTTTGGTTTTGTTGATTTTCTCCATTGTTTTTTAATTCCCTATTTCATATATTTCTGTCATAATCTTTATTTCGTACTCTATTTGCTTTCGGTTTAGTTTGGTCTTCTTTTCTATTTTCTTAAGATAGAAGCACTGCATGAGTCCTGCATCCTCTAAGTTTTGATGTGTTGTGCTTTGAAAAATGAAATTAAAATGAAAAAATAAGTAAAGAATAAGTAAAACAAAAAGATTTCTGCAGTATTGGAGCGTGTCTTCTAATATTAGTAGCTACCATGTATTAATGGCTTATTAGTAATTAATTGCTTATTAGGTTCTAGGGACCATGCCATAGCCAATCCTTTCAGCCGTCCCATGAAGAGGGTCAGTGCTATTATGCCCATTTTACAGTTGAAGAAACTTAAGCTAAGAAGTAACTTGCCCAAAGACACACTTGAATGTAAGAAAAAAGAGAAGTCATGATCCCCCTTTCCCCACCTCTGCTCGTTCTAGCCAGGGTAGGTGTTAATATGGTTCACCTGTGTTACAACACTATTCTCCCAATTCTTCTAGCAATCTGTCTTCTGTAATTATAGCCCAGTTATATCCTACTTTCAGCAGTTTGCATTTGTGGAACAAGCTTGGATTTGGGTTGTCAGCTGGTCTGTGACAGGTCTTGGGATGCCCTTAGGCCGTTCTTCAGAGAATTAGGGTGTGAAGCTCTCTCTCCGTCTCTCTCTCCGTCTCTCTCTCTGTTCTCTCTCTGTCTCTCTCTCTCTCACACACACACACAGTGAGAGGCTTCCTTTGCTGCTGCCCAAGGACACTGAGAAAAGTTGCAGGGTAACCTTTCTCCACACTCCACCTCTTTTAGCCGAGGGTCAAATCCCCCCCCTACCCTGGCTTGGTGACGAGAATTATCAAACAATCGACCCCTGACTTATTGTTTATCTTTGACCTCAGTTTCCCCTACAATCTGTATTGTTTCCTTCTCTTCTCCACTCAGGACAATTAGAAGAACATTATGGTTAAACCAAGCTTTGGTTTTAGAACTGACCACCTGGGTTTGAGTCTTAGCTGTGTCGCTTAGCAGCTGTGTCAGTCTGGACAAGTTAGTTAACATCTTAATTTTCTCTTGCAAAATGGGGATGAAGATAATTGAGCCTATCTCTTACAACACTTCTATGAAGAGCTTAGTGCACAGATATTTGAACACTGAATGAATGTGGTAGTATGAATATTTCTGCTCCATAGACGTTCCAAAAATGGGCATTGATGCCTCTGTCTGAAGACTTGTCAAGAAGCCAAATGAGCTCCGGCTCTAGCCAGTAGAAAATTCACTCCTATGGGTGACCTTTTAAAACCCTCATGAATAGCCAGGCTAGAACACCACCCTCCCTCTTACATTCTTTCCGAGTCATGCATGTGTGTACACATCTGGCGCAAGGGAGGGAGTATCGACAAAGTGCATCTTTGTGCCTTCTCACTGTGGCTCCCTCTCACATGGGCATGACAAATGCTGACACTGGGGGAGAACAGAGAGGTCTGACGGGGCCCTGCCTGCAGGCTTGCAGACTGGCTCCAGCTCTGCTTCTTTGTTGCTCAGTGACCTTGGGTGAGTCCCTTTACCTCTCCAGGCATTTGTCTTGTCATCTGCAAACAAAGTGGTGAGGGAGGAGTTTCTTTGACTGATGTTTTTCAAGGGGTTATTCTGGAACCTTCACAAATCAAAGGGTTCTCTGCTAAGTGGGATTTCACACCTGTGAAGGCAAGCTTGGCATTTAAGATGGTATAGAGAGGTTTGACTCCTGTCTGTGCTCAGAAAGGAAGGACCTGCTTTGCACTGGACTTCTGGAAAATCCCCTCTTTCCCTGGTGATAAACCTAGACTTTGGCCTTAGAACCGGAAGTCAATTCTTGGGCTCTAAAACCTGTACTTTGTTTAAAAACCATGACATTCTTCTATGAGATTTTACATGTTTCATCTTTGAAATGTCTTTTCACAGAGGTAAGAGCTGCCTAATACTGATTACATGGGAGGAAGGTAGTTATCTTGTTGGAAAAATACAAAATTAATTCTTTCAGTAGCTTGTTTTCCTTTAGAACAGAACCTGCTTATTGTATCATTTTTACTGATAATCAACTGCTCTTCTCCCGCTTTTGTAAATGTGCTTGCTTATTGCAATGACTGCTGTGCTGGCTACATGAATGCTGAGAAAACGAAACTTAAAAGAACCCAGAAGAGTCTGCCTATAAAAATCCTGTAAGACCTAAACTCGAGTCTCAGATTTGCAAGTGCTAGTTTATCTGGGCCTGCTGGCGTAATAAAAAATACCTGACTTTCCAATCCTTTGACTTCTCTGTCAAAGTCTGCTCAGTAACAATCTCTGATAATAGAAAAGGGTTTGTCCACATGAATCAGGAGGATTTCCTTTCAGTTCTTGCTTCCTCAGCCTCTCCCCATCACAGATGTTGAGTATAAGTCATCTTTTTCTTGTCACTGCTGTTATAAAAATGGAGAAGGAAAAAAATCATACAGCAAAATACAATACTTAGCTAGCAAAGATGAGTTTTAAGCACTTGACTGGGAGGAAGAATCATCTTTCAAATTAGGGAACTGGAGGCTGTTTGCTTCTGCTGTTAAGCTGACCCTCATATTCAGAGTCTGCTGGCACCAGGCTGCCCACCCCTGTGGGTTTAAAGTGTATAGCTGTTGTCTCACCCTTGGCTGCTGAGAAAAGTTCTGGTGCTGGGTCAGTCCCTTAGGTCGATTCAGTGATTTTACTCTATTCCAGAGGTCATCACACTTTTTCTATAAAGGACCAGATAGCAAATATTTTAGGCTTTGCAGGCTAAGAAACAAAATAATAATGTAGGCTCTTATATAAATAACAAGACAGGATACAAATTTCCATGAATTTTTAATGGACATAATTCACAATGTAATAATTGAGTGCAAATATACAATACGCATCTGATGCCAGAGGAGAATGGGTCTGGGAAGGCCTGGTAATTGGCCTTAACCCACCTGGTCCTCTTACCAGGTTCTTGACTCCGCCACAGGAAAGAATTCAAGAGCAGAGTCACAGTAGAAAGTGAGAATGTATTTAATGTAACAGATAAGGAATATAAATTTCAGAGAGAAAGTGCAGCCTAGCTCCAGAGACCAAGCAGGGCCCGCACCAGGTCCAATACAAAAGCAAGAAATACCCCCTCAAAGTCTAGTACTAGAGTGCAGGCTGGCTTGAGAGTGAGCAGCCACCTGCCAAAAGTAAGTCTGATACAAAGGGAAGCACACATACCTCAGCCAGCATGTGCAGTGGTCCTGGGAAAGTAAGCAACAACCCCGCCTTCCTCCAGGATTCAGCTTTTATAGTCCTGCTGTCTAATACATATTCCTGCTATCTAATGAATATAAATTCCACTTTACTGAGCATGCTTGGCTATTAGGGTTATAGAACCCCTTTCTACTGAGCATGCCCCGTCACTGAATTTGCATTGTCAGCCCCCTGAGGTCTCAAGTTGGTCTGAAAATAGGTTCAACTTGCAACAGTAACTCTTTAGGGGAGGGCCTAGAGGAGGACCCTGAGACTTTGGGGTATGGCCTGAAACCCAGAGGTGTGTCCTGAAATCTGAACTCCAGGAAGCTTAGCACCTCCTATCTCACATCTGCTAATGAGAGGAATAGAACATTTTGTTTAATTGGGGTTCAAAATTAGTGTTCCCTATCACCAAATCAGTTGCAAATAAATGTTCATTGTTAATACTGATCTGTAATGAGATTTTACATATTTCATCTTTGAAAATTTCTTTTCACACAGATAGGTATTGCTAAATACTGGTTATTGATCCATGAGGATGTGATTTAATTGAGCATATTTATTGCTTGGAATGCACTTCTAGAATTCTTTTAGTTTATTCTCTTGATATTTTTCTTTTAATGTGTTATTGCAGATTAATCACTCCCCAAATGGAGGTTAGAAGGAAGCTTCTCAATTGCACAGTCAGATGGATTTTGAAATGCGGATATTCCCTTTGCACTTGCATCAGGGTTCAAAAAATGTTGCTGCAACTGTAGTTTGAGCTTGGAACAATATCACTGCTGCAAATTTGTGTAGGAATGGAAACATGACGAGTTGCTGATCTCTGTCCCACATCAATGGAGGTGGTGGGCTTTCCTCTGCTGCTTGGGGACGGGGGGTGGGGGGCAACTCAATGCTGGTTTAACAAATCCTGACAGGCTTTCTTCCTGATTCCAGGGAATAGCTTGCAGTGCTACAGCTGTGTCGATCCAGTTTCTACTTGCACTTCGAAAACGACTTGTTCACCTAATTTTGATGCATGTCTCCTTGCCAAATCTGGTAAGAGACTCCCCCTTCCCTGCCTCCTAAGTGTAATGGGATGATGAATGAGAGCATGCGAAAAAACTTGTGCCATTCTAGTTCTTGTCAGACTTGTATTCAGCAAGTAATAGTTACCATTTATTAGCACTAGTCATGTATTGGGCAGTAAGTACTTTCCACACACTTTTTATTTGTTTAATACTTCTCACTTCCTGTCAGGGAGATCTTTTATTCCCATTTGATAAATGAGGAAACTGAGGCTCAGAATAAGCAATAAGCTAAGGTCAAATGACCAACTCAGGATTTGAACATGGAAATCCATCTGATTCCAAAGATTTTGTTCTTTCATCGCGACACTGTGCTGCCTCCCAAACTTTTGAGAACCTACTATGGGCCAGAGCCCAATCTAGCAGTTAAGAATGCAAAAACTAAGAAAGGACACATACAATTAACATTATGACAAAAGCCTCTTTGGCTATCCCAAGTGACTTTGTATCTCTGTCTCATTGCATGGGAAATCTAGTGCATACATATGTAGTCCTGAGGAGACTCAAGCTGAGTTCAAAGGACAAGCAGGAGTTAAGAAGACTCAGAGGTGAGGGGTGTTCCTGGGAGAGGCAACAGCAGGTACCAAGGCTTGGTGGCCTCGGAAAGCAAGGTGCTCATGAGTGTGGGGGTGGGGAGTGCTACCATGCACAGGCTCTGTAAAATATGCGTTTTGATATTTTGTATATGGTTAGACTATGGAATCTCCACCTCCATAAATCCTATTAAAATAGAGTTTAGGAAATGGTAGACAGAGGAAAGAAACCAGCAAAGACATATCCTCTCTTCTTGCTGGGTATGGTTCTGGATTGAATGGATGTGTGTAAATGACACTGGAGAGGAGCGGCAGTTTCTGGGTCTTCTTAATGTACAAAGTAAAACTCCTGGGCTTAAATTTCTGAGGGATAAAAATAAAAACACTCTTCAGGGCTATTTTCACTCATACCCTCTACCACAATATCAAGGAATGGTGAACATGTCAGGTAAACTCATGAAAGGCTTGGGAGACCCACAGGTTGAAAGAAAGATTAATTTCCCCAGAAAGGAGAAATCCCTCAATAAGTAAAAAAGTAGAGTTATCCTGTCTGAAAAAACAGGAGTATCTAATGATTTTGATATAAATGCCTGGAATGCAGCTAAAATTCCAAGCCCTACATGCACGGTCCTTGATTTTGTAGGGGGACAGATCCTCTGCCTCCATTGGAGGACCATGTTANTGGCTATCCCAAGTGACTTTGTATCTCTGTCTCATTGCATGGGAAATCTAGTGCATACATACGTAGTCCTGAGGAGACTCAAGCTGAGTTCAAAGGACAAGCAGGAGTTAAGAGGACTCAGAGGTGAGGGGTGTTCCTGGGAGAGGCAACAGCAGGTACCAAGGCTTGGTGGCCTCGGAATGCAAGGTGCTCATGAGTGTGGGGGTGGGGAGTGCTACCATGCACAGGCTCTGTAAAATATGCGTTTTGATATTTTGCATATGGTTAGACTATGGAATCTCCACCTCCATAAATCCTATTAAAATAGAGTTTAGGAAATGGTAGACAGAGGAAAGAAATCAGCAAAGACATATCCTCTCTTCTTGCTGGGTATGGTTCTGGATTGAATGGATGTGTGTAAATGACACTGGAGAGGAGTGGCAGTTTCTGGGTCTTCTTAATGTACAAAGTAAAACTCCTGGGCTTAAATTTCTGAGGGATAAAAATAAAAACACTCTTCAGGGCTATTTTCACTCATACCCTCTACCACAATATCAAGGAATGGTGAACATGTCAGGTAAACTCATGAAAGGATTGGGAGACCCACAGGTTGAAAGAAAGATTAATTTCCCCAGAAAGGAGAAATCCCTCAATAAGTAAAAATGTAGAGTTATCCTGTCTGAAAAAAACAGGAGTATCTAATGATTTTGATATAAATTCCTGGAATGCAGCTAAAATTCCAAGCCCTAAATGCACGGTCCTTGATTTTGTAGGGGGACAGATCCTCTGCCTCCATTGGAGGACCATGTTAATTCACTGTTAATGTGGAAAGCATAGTAAGGCCCCTAGGGGGCACGTAGTCATTCACCACAAATATTTGAGCACCAACTATGTGTGACCCAGAAGCCCTGATTCTTCCCCTTGATGATCTGTGTCTCTTGGACCCCACACTACAAAAAGTATAATTGCCAAATGAGAGAATAAAGGCAACGTAATGTGTTGCATGAAGGTTACAGTAGCAGTTAGAAACTCTGACCTGTGTCCTGCCACCAGCTAGTTCTTCCCACCTCTATTTTTTATTTTTGAGATATGTATGTTGGATAGTAGAGGTGGAGAGGAGAGGGAAGTAGACCAGAGCCAAGGTCTTTTTCTAGCTCCTAAATCCTATAGTTTCTTATCTGAATTGTTAAGCTTTTAGAAATATTTAATGTAAAGGACGATGAGACACACAAATTAGAATGGTCAAAGTGCAAAACACTGACAGTGCCAGATGCTGGCGAGAATGTGGAGCAACAGGAACTCTCACTCACTGTAAAATGGTATAGCTCCTTTGGAT